AAAAAAAAAAAAAAAAGTGTGTATCATCACTATCAAGGCAAAATTTAGTCCCTACTATGACTTAGGCACTGTGGTAAGCACAATATTTGCCTTAGCTGATTTAAATCTCGAAACCTTCCCATGAGAAAGGTATTATTATCATTGTCACCATTTGGAAAGGGTGGGCCAGACGCTGAATAGCTATCTAAGGTCATGCAACTAATAAACGATAAAACAAGAGTCCAAACTCCAACAGTGACACTAAAAACTCATATCCTATCTCAACTAACATACCCTACTGTCTCCCTATTACTTCAATTTAACCTCTAAATAAAGTTATAAAGTAAACTATATTATTCTCATTCCAAAGATGAGGAAATAAAGGTAATGTCACATCATTAATAAACAGCCAAGATTTGAATGCTCTGATTGTCTCGAAGCCCCAGGCGTTTTCTATTCTCTGACTGCTTTTTTTGTTTTTGTTTTTTTTTTTTTTGAGACAGGGTCTTATTCTGTCATCCAGGCTGGAGCGCAGTGGCACGATCACTGCTCACTGCAGTCTCAATTTCCCAGGCCCAAGTGATCCTCTCACTTCAGCCTCCCAAGTAGCTGGAACTACAGGTACATGCCACCACATTTGGCTAATTTTTGTAACCTTTCAACAACATGGTTCTTTTCAGGTTCTTCATCTTCCACTTACCTCTTAAACCTCATTTCCCAGAGTTCTATCCTCAGCCTCTATTCAAATGCTCCTGGGCACACCCACCCCATCCCAGGGCTTGATTGCCACCATAACTCCCCAAACTTCAAATATGTGTATCTCGTCCTCATGCCTCTGACCTGAACTTCATACACTGCAGTATAAAAAATGATGCATGCGGCTGGGCGCAGTGGCTCACGCCTGTAATCCCAGTACTTTGGGAGGCCGAGGCGGGCTGATTGTGAGGTTGAGAGATCGAGACCATCCTGGCCAACATGGTGAAACCCCATCTCTACTAAAAATATAAAAAACTTAGCCAGGTGCGGTGGCACGTGCCTGTAATCCCAGCTACTCAGGAGGCTGAGGCAGGAGAATCACTTGAACCTGGGAGGCAGAGACTGAAGTAAGCCGAGATCACGCCACTGAACTCCAGGCTGGTGACAGAGTGAGACATCGCTTCAAGATTTAAAAAAAAAAAAAAAGTCATGCATGCGGCCGGGCACGGTGGCTCATGCCTGTAATTCCAACACTTTGGGAGGCCGAGGCAGGTGGATCACCTGAGGTTGGGAGTTCAGGACCAGCCTGACCAACATGGAGAAACCCCGTCTTTATTAAAAATACAAAAATTAGCCTGGCATGGTGGCACAGGCCTGTAATCCCAGTTACTTGGAAGGCTGAGCCAGGAGAATTGCTTGAACCCAGGAGGCATAGGCTGCGGTGAGCTGAGATCCCAACATTGTACTCCAGCCTAGGCAACAAGAGCAAAGCTCCATCTCAAAAAATAAAAATTAAAAAAAAGATGCAAGTTAAAACATAGTAACTACCAACTGGTAAAGGTTAAAATCAGAAGGCCAGGCATGGTGGCTCACGCCTACAATCCCAGCACTTTGGGAGGCCAAGGCGGTGGATCAAGAGGTCAGGAGACCGAGACCATCCTGGCCAACATGCTGAAACCCCATCTCTACTAAAAATACAAAAATTAGCCAGGCGTGGTGGCATGCGCCTGTAGTCCCAGCTACTCAGGAGGTTGAGGTAGGAGATTTGCTTGAACCTGGGAGGCGGAGGTTGCAGTAAGCTGAGATCGCACCACTGCACTCCAGCCTGGGTGACAGAGCGAGACTCCGCCTCAAAAAAAAAAAAATTTTTTTTTTTACTAAAGAGACTGTAAAAACTTACTGAAGGCAGGGTTCATGAAAGCAGGAACCACACCGCTCACTGCTGCAGAGTGCCTGGCACAGAGAGGAAGCTCAAAAAATGCGCAGGATGGGCCGGGCGTGGTGGCTCACACCTATAATCTCAGCACTTTTGGAGACCGAGGTGGGTGGATTATGAGGTCAGGAGTTCGAGACCAGCCTGGCCAACATGGCGAAACCCCGTCTATACTAAAAATACAAAAATCAGCCTGGCATGGTGGTGCATGCCTGTAATCTCAGCTACTTGGGAGGCTAAGGCAGAAGAATCGTTTGAACCTGGGAGACAGAGGTTGCAGTGAGGCGAGATCACACCACTGTACTCTAGCCTGGCTGACAGAGCAAGACTCTGTTTCAAAAAATAAATAAGTAAATAAAATTAAAAAATGAAAAATAAATGCACAGGATGAATAACTATGGTAGTCATAAGGATTCAGGGAAAAGGGAATTTTTATACTACCTAGGGTAAGATAAATTGGTATAATCTTTCTAGAAAGCAATTTAACAATATGTATCAAAAGCCTTAAAAATGTCCAGGCCAGGTGCAGTGGCTCATGCCTGTAATCCCAGCACTTTAGGAGGCCGAGGCAGGCAGATCACCTGAGGTCAGGAGTTTGAGACCAGCCTGGCCAACATAAAGTACCCTGTCTCTGCTAAAAATATAAAATTAGCCAAGCATAGTGGCACACGCCTGTAGTTGCAGCTACTTGGGAGGCTAAGGCAGGAGACTCGCTTGAACCCGGGAGGCAGAGGTTGCACTGAGCTGCGATCGTGCCATCGCACTCTAGGCGACAAGAGCGAAACTCCATCTCAAAAAAAAAAAAAGGCTTGAAAATGTGTGGCACAAGAATTCTACTTCTAGGAATTCATTTTAAGAAAACAACTGGGGCCGGGTGCGGTGGCTCAAGCCTGTAATCCCAGCACTTTGGGAGGCCGAGACGGGCGGATCATGAGGTCAGGAGATCAAGACCATCCTGGCTAACACGGTGAAACCCCGTCTCTACTAAAAAACAAAAAACTAGCCGGG